GAGCACGTGTGGCCTCCAATGTCCTCTTACGGGACATGAATGTTGACGTGCCCTTGACCGACGGCCGCCGCATCGAAGTCCTGGCGAATGGTCTGCCTATCTGGCAGGGTGCACAGGCGGCCGTTAGCATACCCATCCATCGGTGCAGGGAGGCACGCTGCACGGCCGGGCCTTGGCCAGTTTCCGCAGGAAGGCAACGGCCTCTCGGCTAAACCTGCCCCCAACTTCAACGCCCAGCACAACCAGCTTACAGCGGCGGGCGACTGCCAGCTCCGGGTAGGTGCGCAGGCGTTTGCGTTTCGCCGCCTGCTCAAGCACCGTGCCTGGGACACGATCGGCATGCGGGTGTGCGTCGCCCGCCCGCGTGACTGGTGACACTAGGGTGGTGTCGGCCGTGGCGGCACAACGCGCACTGGCTTACTCGCTGCTCGAGTTGCCCCTGGCGGGAGCGGACGAATGCGACGGCACCGAGCCGCCACTGGGCGACCTACTGGCGGATGCCCGTGGTGCCGAGGCAGTGCCCGCAAGTCGTCTCCCCGCCCCGTGAGTTTCGCCCTCTTCGTTCACGTGCGGTGTGGCGTCTCCTGCGCGCCTTCCCTGTAGGACGTAGCCTGCGACCGCCGACTGCGACCGAGGGTGCAAAAGAAAGAGAGCTCATCTTGCACCCTCTGAATCAAGTAGGCCGATCGAACTTCTTGTACGCCGGCTTGCTTGGCCCCCTTGCAACATCGATACTGCTGCAGTTGTCTACGTGCAGTCTGGGTGGAACAACACGACGAGCAACTTCATCCAGCAATGTCGCAACATTCTCCATCATTACATTACTACTGCCTCAGTGGCCTGATACAACTCAGATTCCATGATGGAAAGCATAACAAATGCCTGTTTCCCGCACCTCCAGCTGACCGCACGCTGGTATGTGGCTTGCGGCAATCCCTTCGGACGCAGCGTCCGCATGTTGACCCCAACGCCGACGACCGTCGCCGCCTCGACGTCGTTGTCTGAAGACAACTAGCAACGGTGAAACCTTGTGCCGCGACGCAACCCTCGTCTCCCCCATACTGGGACTTGACCCGCGGAGGGCCTCAAAAAAGGGCCTCAACGACTCGTAGTCCTTGCTGCAGAAGTCGGGGGCCGCTGGAGCGACGAGTGCCAGCAGTCCGTCCGCACGCTACGCCGGCGGCGGCATGGTCCAGACAATTTTTTTTCCAAAGCACCTTCTTGCAAGTGCACAGTCTAAGCTGCTCACGCCCGCAGGGGCAGGCGAGAGGGTTGCTCGGCCTCTGCGAGCCAAACGCGGAGGTGGCGACCGCGTTGCAGGGCGACCGACAGCACACTCCACCAGCGGCGCCCCCAGCCCTGGGCTGCAAAGGCGCGCAAGGGTGGTGGACACGGCGCTGCCTGGTGCGCCAAAAACGATCCCGTTGGGTGACGTGTTGGACCTGGCGATAGCCGAGCCGGCTGCCGCTTCGCTAGCACCCCGTAGGCGCCTTTAGGTTTAGGGAGTGTCCGACGGTGGAAAACGTTGTGCGGACGCAAAACACGGGAGGGGGGGGCCAATTAAGGATTATAATTACGAGAAGGTTTGGGCAGTATCAGGTTCAACTCCTATGGATGATATTTTGCAACGCGTGCGGGCTCAGTGGACGAAGCTGGTCAGAGCTTCAATGTGGCCATAGCGTCGCCATCGCTCTGCTCCGCACCTTAAAAGCTGACGGGGCGGTCGCCAGAGAGGGGGGGCGAATTTCGCCTAACGCCTGAAGACACATTCTGACGACATATCCTTGCAAAGCCCCGGCCCCGACCCGCTGACGCCACATACTGACGCTACGTCCCCTGACGCCGCGTATCTGCGCGCGTGATGCCACGTGTCGTCTTGACGCCACGCATCGTCGCGACGCCCCGTGGCTTCGTGACGCCACTTTTTGACCCCACGGCTTCACATCTCAACTGTGTCAAAACTCTACTCCGCTGATGCCCCAAACTGCAACACCGATACTGCGTTTTGCCGACTTGTATAGAGTTAGCCTCTTGTTTTGATTAACTGCAACACTAACTAAAGTAAACCTCCTACGCACACCATCGGCGCAGGACAGTGCAATCGGCGCCGTCGGTGCATTCCCGTGCAATCCAAGTACTTTTGGAATAGCCTCCTGGCGCAGGTTTGTCGTACGGTCCGTCTTCAAAAGCATTCTGTTTTGGAAGCCATTGTTGCTGGACGACAACTTGTTTGAAAAACCGTTCGGCCCTAAACGATCCGAAGCTGTGCCCTGAGCATTGTTACAGCATGCTGACTCGCAAACGGGAGATTGGGAAGCCTGCGCCAGGATTTACAAGCAAAAAGCAAAGCACGCTTGGACCGCGAGCCCGCCACACCTGGACAGGCTCATGTCTTCCGCGGCCTGGCTAGTCAGGAGGGTGCAGACGACGGACGCGCCGGGACATACCCTGCAATGTAAACAGGTGGGCGAAGACTACGATCCAGGAATGAGTTGTCTCATGTAGGCTGGTGGAACCCTCGCATGTCCAAATAAACTTACTGTTTATCGAGACGTTGAAAAACATCGGCTGTCTACTCCAAATCGCTCGACGTGATGGCGTCAGCGCGGCAAAACCCCGAGTTGGACGCGGCGACCCCGTTGTTTGCTACGAGGGGCCGACAAAATATACATGCAAATGTAGAGGTAGATGTAGCTTTTTTCTTTCGCATTTTTTCAAACCGCAGCGAGTTCGAATAAGAGCAAAATGAACATGTACACCGGTTTGGATAGGTGCATAATCTGTTTTCGCGAGTGTTTCGCAAGCGCAAGCGGAAGGAAAGGAAGCACATACATACGTACATGCATACATACATACATACATACATACATACATATGTATCTTGGCAGTTTTGAGGCAAACCAAGCGAAGGAGTTCGGTCACATGTTTGGTGGATGTTGAAGCACCGTGGCGCAAGCTCGTTAATCCCCACTTGCAGGGGTCGAAAGAACCTTGAATCAATTTGTGGTGGATGTTCGCGGTCTGGCTCCGACTTTGGGTATAGCTGGCTACAGCAGTAGAAGAAGCAGCGGGCCCGGGACATGTTGTAAATGTCGTGATGTTTGCGCCGTACGGGGGGGGCCCTGCGCCCTTCCCGCAGGGAGCAGCTTTTCCGCTGTGGCCTGAGAGGGTGATGCGCGAGAGAGGGTGACGCACAACGTCAACGCCAGTGCCACTGCCACCTAGGTCTTCTGGGCCATCTGGATCATCCGGGAGTGGGCGACCACCAGCATTAGGCATTTGGTGAGCTTGTGCACTGGACTTGCTGCCCCGGGTCTCCCACAGGCACCGTGCTCACCGGCACCGTCAAGAGCTATAGCGCCAAAGGCTTCGGATTCATTTTGTGCTGTACCCCCAGATGGTTGCGCAGCGGTACCGGGGCTTGCTCTACATAGTCCAGGTCCAGATGTGGACCACGACGTGTACTTTGCGCGTGAAAGTCTGCAAGACGGTTTGAGGACTGGTGTCGCAACAGTTGCGCAGACTCGCCTACACCTTGCCATCTTATTTCAGCCGAGGACGGCCAACATCGCCGGGACGGTTGTGCAATTCGTGCTTCAAAGGGGCCTGCATGGGAAGCCGCAGGCGCACAACATCAGGTATATAATTAGGGATGATCACCAAGTCGCAGGTCGTAATGTGACAATTGTCGTCGTGGTTGCTGTGAGTTGTGATGCCAGCGAGCAAGCTGTCTCGGCTTAGTTTTCATGTCCGGTCAGGTTGTTGGGGGCTTGGAACGGGGGGGTTGGAGCAGCAGGAGGTTGGGGTCTGAAATATTCTGAATTGGTTCACGACCCATGTTGGACCTTTCGGCGTGAATCCGTCTCAGACCCCATGTGTTGTGACCATTTGCCATTGTGGCTTAATGCTTGCCATATCATTCCCATGTACACACCATGTCGTAAGCTGCGCCGCACAAGAAGTATGAAATGTCGCCTGTGCTCAGAGTCCCACGTGAGACCCCATTTCAGACGGGGTCTTGCCTCAGACGCCGGAAAGTTTTTATGAGTTTTTATGTGATGCACATAGAGTCATAGAATAGTGAAGCCAGTGAGTCAAGGAATTTATCGGGTGTTGAGGCCGACGCAACGCCCGCCCCGCCCCCCCTGCCGCTCAGGGCGCTTTCAAGTCCAAATTTTTTAATTTCGATACTCCGAATCCCTTTTTGGAAGTTTGTTGGCAACTTGCGTCTGTCTGAGGCCACGTGCTTGCGCCCGCTCGATGGGCAGATAGCACCAATGGCCTACAACCGAGGCATCGTTGCAAGGCTGGTGTCTCGTGTGCTTCCGGGTGCAGTGTGCGTCTGCTTCCAGGTTACACTCCAGAGCCGGTCTTACCATGCATGTTGCAGAGCTGTTGCAGGGCTCTTAGGGTCTTGGTTTTTGTTCCTGCAGTGCCAGGGCCAGGGCTGGAACAAAGGAGGTTCCAGCTTCGCTGGCAAAGGGGCCGCTTTCGGAGGGGTGCCCACACCAGCATTTGCGCAACAGTTTACACCACAGCCTCAAGTTCCTGCTGGAGGAGCGGCGTAGGTACTGCTATGGTAGCCGGCTGAAAAGCAATGTGCACCGGATGCCGCTCACCCAACTTTGCAGGATCCTGGCCAAACGTCGCGGGAGTTGCCGGGGTTGCTTCATTGGGTGGCTGCATGGGGACCACGAACATGGCCGGCGGCATGGCAACCGCACTGGCCGGTGGTGTGGCCGGCGGCATGGTCGGCGGCATGGCCGGCGGCATGGCCGGCGGCATGGTCGGTGGCATGGCCGGTGGCATGAGTCTAACAGGCCTCAGTGTCTCATCCGGCCTTGGCTCGCCAAGACCGCCTGTGGCGCTGGAGCCTTGGTATTTACCGAAGCTTTTCAGTCATGGAGGTCGTTCCTTTCCCGTCAGCTCAGGCCGAAGCGATTGTCCCCGCACGCAGGCGGAACCCGTTCGGAACCTTCTTAACTGAGTTCCGTGCTTTCCACCAAGGCTCGAGGGCTATGGCCGGATTGCCCACAAAGGCCGCTGAACAGCCGAGCGGTTCACCAAGCGGCAAAAGTGGCAGCCTTTGGCAAAAGCGGTCAGCTGTAGCCCCCGCAGTGTTACGTAGCCTCAGGTTCCTCAGCAAGTTCAGAGCCTGAAAGCAGCGACAGCTCTTCCAGTGAAAAGAAGCGACGAAAAAAGAAAGACAAAAAGAAGAAAGGCTTGGTCTTGCGCCAAAGCGGTTGTCGCAGATCATGTGCCATGTCCTGCCCTGAGCAGGGAAGAAAGAAAGGAGTCGCTCGAGACGGAGAAAGTCAAAGAGCTCCAAGAAGAGTAGGCAGCGGCCGCCACAGCTGGCAAGGCTGAGCCACGCTGCAGCCAGAGCAGTCCCATAAGCCAGGCTGAGTGTGTCTTCAAGCAGTGGCAAGGATCAGAAAGAGGATATGGGTCTGAGAGCAACACATTTGCAAGAGTCCTTGTTGGGTCGCAAGTGGCAGAGGAGCCGAGCTCCGAAGTGCAGCAAGCAATCGAAAGTGCCAAAAGAGAGGCGCTCTTTCGGCGGTGTTCGGTCCCATCTGAACCTTCGGTACTGGCGTGGGTCAGGTGTTGCAGCAGTTGGAGAACCTGAAGAAGGTCGAGCCCAAAGAGCAACGCATGAAGGCAATGTCCACCCTGTGTTTGGATCTGAGGCCGCATGGGCTTGCGTGTCAGGAGTGGAGATCGCTATTGCGATCCTGGCATCCTGACAAGAACCCCGAGAAAGCGGAAGTAGCCACGCAGGTCTTCCAGTTCTTGCAAAAGGCACGTCGGCGGGCAAGCTATGATGTAAGAACGAAATCTGGAGCTTTCATTGCTCCGGTCAGGGAAAGCTCCTTCTCGGCCTTTGACTCTGTCGCTTGTGGCGAAGCCGCATGCCGTCGGCACGCAACTTCACCTCTGCGAGAACGTGGCACACCTGAAAAGGCTCCAAGCTATGCCCGTTCATTTGATTCTATTGCCGAACACAGTTCTTACATCCGACACCTTATTGGATTCCGTGTGAAACCCACCCGGGGTAGGGGGGGCAGGGCGGACCAACAGACGAACAACATTTCAAAAGCCCGCCCGTTGGTGGACATTTCCCAAACTTGTATCCTGAAGTGACGATCCCGTGTCAGCACATTTCTTCAACCCTCCCCCTTCGTTTGCCGGCTCCGACATTTTTGAAATTTGCCTGTTCATTTGGCTTTCCGGTCACCTTCAGATTTTCCTGGCTATGTGTTGTGACCACCTTCTGAGGCACACTAGTCTGCCAATGTTCGTACCCATTTCCTTTTTCCTATTTGTTGCGGGTGGCGAGGGGGAGAACAAATAGCACAATCCAAAACATTATCAAAGCCTCCGGCCCATACAAGAGAGCCAGAGAGCCCCTAAACCCCTAAGCCCGCGAAGACGTCATATTTCAATGGGAAGATGAGCCCAAAAAGGTGGTAAAAGCTCTGCTATACAGGGAAGAATAAAGAAAAAGCGTGGGGGTTTCAATTGCCCCGGCAATGGCACGCAGGACACAGTAGGGGTATAAAGGGGGGAGCACCAAAAAACGACATGTAAACAGGGTAGGGCCAAAAAATATCAAGAAGCGACAGAGCGCCAAGAAATGACATGGCGCCAACAACATAAGGTAGAGAGCCCCAGAAAACGCTGCACTTAGGCAAGGGCAGAGGTCAAGGCGAATTCGCGGAGCGACATAGTTGTCTATCCTGTTTTCATAGCAGCCG